GGGGGGGGGGTAGAGCGAGGCAGGGAGCGAATTCGGCGGCACGGCTTCGGGCGCAAGTCAGTGGAGCACGTACAACGAGAAACGGCCAATAGGTGTGGAGAGCGCGAAGTGTTCGGCAGCATGTGCGAGAGGGAGAGCACGAACGAACGAACGAACAAGGCCGACGGATGAAACGAGAATATTCGCGTAGGTGCGACGCAATGTATTCTGCTCGCCTGTCTAGCTGACAAGCTAACCGCATAGAATGCACGTCCCGCTGTTGGAGATTCCTTTTTTGGCAGGTGAAACGCCACTCCCACTGTTCGTTCCCGTTCTTCTATTTTCTCCAACACTGGACGCATAGCCCCGAGGGAAACCTAGTATTTCTGGGAATGTAATTCTGCTTCCGCTGTAGTGTGGAATTCGCGAAAATTATATTTTTTTAATTATTTCTTTGTTTGCCGCTTGCTGGAGGACGGAAAAATGTAACAGTGCGCAAAAAATACGAACGTGCCCGACCTCTGTAATTTGTTTTGGCTGTTGAGCTGTCTGTAACGTGGCGAAAAGCACCCGCGGGAGTCAGGAGTTTGGCGCTCTCAGACGCAACGTTGAAAGCGGGCGCGGCGGCGCTGCGAAGCGTGGCGCGCGCAGGAGAGAGACGAACTAGAATAGGAGAGAGAGAGAGGCAACGTAAAAAGTTTAGAACACATTGAATTGGATGAATATAAGTTCCGTGAATTTAACAGGGAGAGGTGTATCAGGGCATAAACAAATGTCACTGCAGTGCCACTGATCGAGAGGTCCCACAGTTCTCGTACCGATGGTACCACGATTTTCGACACTAGCTAAATAGCTAGATCGAGTTCCATCGCTGTCTGGAGGAGAATTTTAACAGCCGGCTGCTCTGAGCGGTAGTTTAACGTGGTTTCAACGGTCAGTAATAGGCGAATACCGGAGCAGCGCCCTAACAAAGAGGCCACGGACCGCGCGCGATCTTTCCATCCTCTTCCTAGCTCTACTTACACACTTACGTTAACATGCACTATACTACCACTCATGCCGGGTGAACGGTCGGGAGTGTAGAACACGTCCCGGCTGGGGCGGCGTCCTGCTGGTGGGAGATTTCTGATTGAGAAAACCTCTCTAGTCAATGGTAAGTCTGTGCCGGATTTCACCATCTACCTGAGAAAAGATCTCTGTAGAAAAAGTAGTACACTTACGGGAATAATGAGTTGTTGACGCGCTCGGAATCACTAACCAATCAATCAATCAATTTAATGAATTGAAAGGTAACTGATGCGGCAAGGCTAATCGCGAAAGCTCAGCAGCATAATCTTTGTCTCTGCAGCCTTCTTTGCCCGCAAGTCCTTGGGTTAGAGTTCCGAATGGGGCGGGTTTCGATAACAGCTAGATAGTACTAGTCTGCATAGCGCACTTTATTCATTATTTCGTATATTTCAGAATGTTTTCCATTTTCGTGGAAAACATAAGTACTTTGCCGTCAATGTTCTTTCTCATATCTGTTCACATTGACTGTAAAGAGCTGTTCTTACATTCTAATGAAAATATTACGATATATCATTAACTAGGAATATGAGAATATTTGTTTCTAACTTTGTTATCGCAAATGATTATGAAATTAAGAATTGTCTGGTCTTCAAGTATGAAATGAAGTTGATGTTAAATCTTTATCATAATGAAAATATTGTCAGTCAAATAATTCCTTATTTTTCACTTCCGAGCAAGCCATTTCTTTTGGATATAATAAATGATTACAAAATGCTTCTTTAAGTTTTCCAGAGTATAATTAACTTACTTTAAACTATAGTGTTTCCAAATAAGATTTAGATGAACAGCACGCAATAGAGATGAATATTAAATGGGGTTGTGAAGCTCGATGAAATCAAGACCAGACCCCATATTATAATTTGTAACGATTTTTGTTAATAATTAGAATAATTATGTATTATCAAACACAGTTTATTATATACAAAACTAATACGCCCCATGATAGAAAATGACAAATTGCTCACAATCACGCAGTATTCAAGCTTGAAATATTTTTTAAATTATTTTTAGTGAACACTAATTAAATTTTAATTACTTTTCGGAATCAATAAATACACTTACATTATGTGTAATTGAAACTTCCATGTGAGGGCCAACGTTTTATTATTTAGAACTTGGGATTTGTTCTTAATAGTTTGTGAGCTATTAAGTATGGGACAAACATTCAAAAGACAGCTATTGTTAGCACATAATTTCTTTAATAATTTTTCACTGTTGTAATTTTCTTAAATTTGGTGAGTTCAACGAACTTCAGACTTGCGCCATTTTTAAGCGTCTTTTGTTCTATCTGTGGAGTGGGAGCTCGATCTGTAAAAATGCGGAGCAATTTTCTGGAGAAAAAGTTTTAAAATTTACTTCATTTTACGCAAGAAAGAACGCGAAAACTACTTATATTTTGGAAAAGTATAAGTAGTGCTGTTGAAAGAAAAATATGAAGTCTTGATATAAACAGTACGTTTTTCAAGATTTGTCTTTGAAAAAAAGATTTTGTAGAGGAAAAAACCTCTATCTCTAATATTGTTTTTGTACAAAGAGACCGAATATTTTTCTAACTGCAATTCAATTTTAATCATTTTGGGGTATCAATAAATTTTGTTTATTTGGGTATCAAATAACCCAACATTCCAGACTCTTTTGCGTCAAAAACGAAATTATTTTCAATTCGGAACATTGAAAACCAAAGAATATTGGTTAAAATACGTTTAACAAATATTGTTAAATAAATTTTTAATTTAATAATTTAATTAAATTTTTCTGTGGGTATTGATAACGTTAAATTAATTATATATATTTTATATTCATGAACAACAACCATAAAACACACACTGAGTGATTTTATTGGGTACATAAAAAAGCACGAAGTGTACATATTCGAAGCCCAAAGTGTACTGACTCAAGGCACCTGGCATCGCCTGCAGACGAAAGTTGAATTTAAACAGAATTAAATTGTATTTAATGTCTTGTATTCAGTGAATTTCTATAATCGTCATAAATCATAAATTTTCCGTGATGTTAAAAGAAAATATTTTAATTACTCCGAAGATGAATTGACGCAGTATGTAATAGAATGAAATGCCAAAAGTAATATTATTCTAGTAGATACAATTACCTTTTATGTAGAGATATTCCTCTCTCATTATTATAAAACGTAGCAATATTTCATGTCATTTTTTATAGGTTCAACGAATACTTTATAAAATCATACAAAAATCACCTATTTTTAACAAGACATAATCTTTGCCTATTATTTCTAGCAATTTATATCCAATTATTTATGTCGTAGTATAAATTCTCGATACTGTCTAACTTGAGACCAAGCAATTAATACCGGCAAAAAGTGTACATAACACATGCAGTGAATATGGTTTATATATGTTTTGATATTCGGGTGGAAGGGAGGACCATAAGTTGAGGAACCGTAAGTTGAAGTATTGAAAGGACC